CCGTACTCTGTATAGGCGAAGTCTCCAAGTTTCTCCTTCCCTGCCTCTCACCCCTGTCCCCCTCCTGCTGCCCCTAGAGCGCCGACCCGCCTGGACTGACCGCCGCCGTCGGGGGCCCCCAGATCGGACGAGTAGCGGGGACGACACCTGCAGCTTCTCCAGTTTCCGCCCGGCCACGCTAACTGTCACCAACTTCTTTAAACAGGTGTCATGGCCACAGGGGAGGGGGCGAGGGGAGGGGCGCCGAGGGACACCCCCGTGGTCGCACAGGCCCCTGGGGACCCAGCTTATGGGTGCGGGTCTGGTGCAGGAGGCCGAGAGGCTCAGTGATGAGGACCTCTTCAAGTTCCTGGCTGACATGCGGCGCCCCTCGTCCTTGCTACGGCGTCTGCGGCCTGTGACCGGTGCGTGCTGCACCCCATAAGCCAGAGGTGTCACTCAGCAAACCCCGACCACCCGCTGTGTCTGACCCTGGGGGCTCCACAGGGACCATGACAGACAAATCCCCAGCTTCAGAGGCTGGGCCTTCCCGTGGGGCCACAGATGAGAAACAATAAATAAGACAGATGTTGGGCCAGTGGGGGGATGTAGTGGCTGGGGGGCCATGGATCCCGAGGGCAGAGCTGATCCAATGGGGGGACCAGAGGTGGGAGTTGAGGGTGACTTCTGGCCTTGGGTACCCGAAGGACAGCCACCAGAGGGCATTGTGGGGGAGTTTGAGCTGGGACCCCAAAGTCCAGAGAGGGTGGGGTCTGGCTAGGAGGCTCCTAGGCAGGTGCAAACTGGCTCCCCTCCCCAGCCCAGCTCAAGATCGACATTTCCCCGGCCCCCGAGAACCCCCACTTCTGCCTGTCCCCGGAGCTGCTTCATGTCAAGCCCTACCCAGACCCCAGGGGCCGGCCCACCAAGGAGATCCTGGAGTTTCCCACCCGTGAGGTCTACGCTCCCCACACAAGCTACAGGTACAGCTTCTGGGGCCCAGTTGGGCACTTAAATGGGGGGGGAGGGCATTCATGCATCGTGCAAAGTGAGGCCCCCTTTGTCCCAGACACACACAGACACCCGGGGTGAGATGCCACTGTTGCTTTAGTGGGTATGTAGGCATGAAAGGACACATGTCTTTCCTTCACTTCTCCTCCGTGGGGCCGTGTCTTCTGCCTTCGTCCCCACCTGCTTCTGTCTCGGATCCAGGGCCGGAAGCGGGGCCCGACAGCCTGGCTGACCCCAGCAGACAGGCAGCTCCTCCCTGTGCAGGGGCCGCATGGGGCGTGGCAGCGTCCCTAGGTGTGCATGGCTGGTCCTCAGTGCTGCCAGGCAGGCTCAGGCCGGGAGCGCGGCTGTGTGGAGTCTGGAAGGGAGATGAGGCTCAGCCAAGTTCGGGAGTGGGGGGCATACCCCCAGCCCAGTTGCCCTACATGCCAACCCCCACCAGGCTCACCTTTCCTGGATCTGTCGCAGCCGGTGCTGCTGGGCCACCATCTCCCGCCTCTGTCGCTGCACGTGGCCCGTGAGGGCCCACAGGATGTGGCTCTGCTTGTCAGCATGGGCCTGTGGGGTCCAAACAGAAACCTCAGCTGGGGCTGCCTCACCTCCCATCCCTAGATCCTACCCAGCCCCCTCTCCTCATTGCATTTGTGTGACCCAGCAGGTCACTGCCGCTCTCCGGCCTCGGCTTCCCTAGCTGTAAAATGGGGACGAAATGGGACTCACTTGGCAGCATATGAGCATGATAGATATTAAAGGACACACAACAGTGCTGGGTACTTCCTGACCACGCAAGAGATGTTGCCAGTTTCTCTAAAAGTATGCATTCATTGAGTACCTAGCCTCTTCCTGGCCCCACGCTGGGTATCTTATCTGCACTGAGTCCCTGACTCCACTCTGAGACATCAATTGTTGACTGTATTGCAAGTGGAGAAACTGAGACAGGGGAAGGGACATGGGTTGCGCCCAGGGTCCCACCTGGTGCTGGGAAGCTGGCCTGGGTGAGGGGGATCTCTGGGACTTGCTTTAAAAGCAGCTTCTGACTGGGAATCAGGGTCTGAACCCCCCGGGAGTAGGAGCCCCTTACCTTCAAAGCCTCGAATTCTTGATGGGCCGGGCCCAGCCAGGCCCCTCTCAGCCGGGCTTCCAGCTGCCGCATGTTCTCCCGCAGCACCTGCTGCCCCTGGGCCGCCTTCCCCAGCGCCCGGGCCGTGGCCTCCGCCTGCAGCTGCAGAGCCTCCTCTTCCCCCTGCAGAGGTAGCAGGATGACCGACTTGTCTTTGTTTGCCTGGGTCATGCCTGGTTTTAACACTGAAATTGCTATATTCCAGGAACCCCACCCCCTCTTCCCGGGCGAACCCAGGCAGCTGGTCACCCTACACATAACTCCAGGGCAGATCCTCACCCGCCCCGGGGAGTCAGAAAGCAGTGCTCACCTGCATCTCCCGCAAGCTTGCGCGTAGCTCCTGGGCCGCGTCCCTGCCCTGGCTGACTTCCTGCCCCAGGAGCCCCAGGGCACGGCCGTAGAGGCCTAGGCTGTGCCGGGCCTCCGTCAGCCGTGCATCTGTGGTCTTGTACACGCCGTTGAGGGCCTGGCCCAGCTGCAGGGCCCCGTGGAAGAGCAGGGTCAGCTCCTCGTGCTGTGCCGGCTCCACGCTGCCCACAGGGGCCGCAGAGGCCGGCCAGGCCGTCGTTAGCAGGGAGCACAGCAGACACAGGGCGAGCATGGCCGCGGCTGAGTGGCTGGAGGTGCGGTCGCGGCGCCACTGCTGCCTTTTATGCCTCAGCGCCCCTTCAGCCCCGGTCAATCGTTAACCAGCCATCGGGTGTCTGTGTTGTGCAAGGGCCTGGCAGCCGTGCAATGGTTGCATCAGGCGAATGTCCAGCGGGGCCATGCTAGAGTCACGCAGGCTGGGGCTGAGGGCCAGGTGTGGGCTGGGGGCACTGGGGGAGGACAGGCCCAGGCGCTGGGGGACCAAGGAGCTCCGAGCTCTGGTTTCCCCACCTGCAGACGGGCGCGGCAGTGACGGTAATAATAGTGAGGTAATAATAATAATATGAGTTTCCCCGGTTTGCTCAGAGCTGTGCCCCTGATGACGGTAACTGAGCACGTGCCCTTCCCGCAAGCCCCTGAGGCCGGCGTCTTTGTCGGTCTGGTTGAGAACGGGGGGAGTGGGTGCAGGTGGCAGAGACTGTGCCAAGGCCACACGGTCCGACTTCGAGACCCACACATGCCCCCGGATCCATGTGAGCTGCCAATCTTCCCTCCGGGTAACGACGGGCAAGCGCCTCGCTCGCCTTGCCTATGAAAGGGGGTGACATGAGTCTTGCCTCACAAGCTGCTTGTGAAAAGTAAATGAGCTGTTTCACGGTGAGTGCTTAACCGGGGCCTGGCACTCAGGTGCCCCCTCGGTGGTTGGTGCAATCATGGTCCTGACTGTTACCGTCCTTGGTATTGTTACAGAGGCTCAGCCGGGAGGGCCAATGCCCCCATTACACAGGCAGGGAAACTGAAGCCCAGAGGGAGGTTGGGGCTCGCACAGAATTACCCCTGGGGAGAGAGGCAGACCTCTGACCCCAGCCAAGCCCCTACGCTGGTTCCGGGCTGTTTCCCCACCTGAGAGACAAGTGATGTAACGAGGGACCTCTCCTGGGGGGAAGGGAGGGGAAGGCCCCTGAGCGGGTGAGGGGCGGGTCGGCCCTGACCATGGGCCACCTGGGCCACCTTGGAACTCAGCCCCAAGCACCCACGTGGCCCCCTGCCTTTGCCTCATTAGTGTCCCCAAAGGCCTCTGTGTTTCCACCGTCTGCCACGGTTTCCCTGTCTACGCGCTGAGGCTGCCCATCTGTCTCCAGCTCCCTGCCAGTCACATTTCCGAACTGTGCCCCTAATTGCCCCTCACCCAGCCCTCAGTGCCTCGGCCGTGTGGCCGTTGTCCTGTGTCCCAGGCCAGGCCTGTTCCAGGAGCCCAGCCTCCTCTGTCCCTTTGACACCCCCTCCCCTGCCCCTGTCCCCACAGGAACCTGCTCTACGTGTACCCACACAGCCTCAACTTCAGCAGCCGCCAGGGCTCCGTGCGCAACCTGACCGTGCGAGTGCAGTACATGGCGGGCGAGGACCCCAGCCAGGCCCTGCCGGTCAGTGGCTG